TTAGGACCGGACCGCATAGGACCGGCCCACTTAGGACCGGGCCCGGCCCACTTGCCACCCTTATGTCCATATCCAATAGCACCAAAACTTTAATTTCTTGGCCTTCTCTTGTAATGACTTGCTCATTTTGTATTCTATATTTGCAACTTCATCAATTGAAGTCCTTGGCCCCAATCGAAGTGAAATAAATGGGCCACATACAAATCATGGTTCGACCCAATTACTAGGGGAGAAATTCAAAAATAGTCATATTTACAAGTGGTAATTGAAAAATAGCCACAGTTTCAAAAGTAATCGAAATTTAGCCACTTTTTATGTAAAGATAAATTTGAACGAAAATACTATTCAAAATCCGAAAAATATTCCAGCATAATATACTAGAGTTCCAGTATAATATACCGGTCCAGCATAATATGCTGGAAGTTCATACACAGATGCTCCAATATCCAGTATATTATGCTGGAACTTTCCGCGTGTTGGAGTTCCAACATAATATGCTGGAAGTTCATACACAGGTGTACCAATCTCCAGTATATTATGCTAGACCGGTCCGTATTATAGCAAAATAGTGGCTATTTTTCAATAACTTTACAAACGCTGGCTATTTTTGAATTACCAATCCGAAAACTGGCTAGCCCGTGCTATTTTTACAATTACTAGCCATGTCGGTCCACTCAGAATTCTAAGGGATCTTTACACAAATAGCCAGCCATATTCATTATTTACTTTTCTTAGCCGGTATACGTGGATTATATACTAATTATACACAGTTATACATATATTATTTATGAATTATTTATACATCCATTAAGTGGTTCGGTAGATGGCTATTTAGGTTAATTCTTCAAATCCTAAATTGTATAGTTTGCTACTTTTGGACCTTTTAGATCATAATCTTAATTTTTTTTTCATGAGTAAACTGAAAATCTTATCAGAAACGAAAAATGGAGAATTAAAATTTTGTAAGTTGTTACAAACATTAGAGGATAATCTAATTCTTGGTTGTAAGGTTGAGCAATATACAAGCAAACATTAGACCTGAATCTAACGTTGTCCGGAAGGGTAATTTTCTAAAGGCTATATTTGTATAGTTTTTAAAAATAGGGACAAAATCTAAATGGTGATCTAAAAAGGGATACCTGTGTATGGTTTTAGAAGATAAAGAAAGAATTTATGTTTTTTGGGGTAGTTTAGAATAAGAATATACTCAAGTTGATTTTCAAATTTTATGTCAAGCTAGGCCAAACTATTTTAGATAATCCCTAATCCTTATGCGGTACTCCCTCCAGTTCACTTTAATTGATTATTTGGTTATTTTTACACATATTAAGGAATTCAACTTTTAGCATTAATTAACAATGAAATTGAGCATATTAACCTTAATTTGTTCATTGAAAATACAATAAATACTCCTAGCCTCTTTACTCCAAGGGTAACTTTGAAAAAATAAGTTAATTCCTTCTTGATATCTGAAAAAATAAGTTAATTCCTTCTTGATATCTGAAAAAATCAAATATTGCGGACCAAAAAATCAACTAAAGTAGACCGGAGGGAGTAAAAACTTACTTTTATCGAATATAAGATATATCTAATATATGCACAATTTCGACACTTAATCATGGTTAAGTAATATGCATTTTTACTTTAATTTGTTAATTCTAAAAATTAATATTTAATTACTGTAAACATAAATATTTACCAAAATGGCTGCCTTTTTGGTGAGGGGTGACGACTGGTGCAGAGTTCTGATTTTAAAAGTTAAAAGCCCATGCACTTTTTTTTTTCATCCCAATATTAGGCAGAGAAATGAATCTGGGGTTTGGTTAATTTGAAGTATACAATTTGATAAACAGTTATCTACCACAAAAACAACTGTAAAATGTCACAAAAATTCTGAACCAATAAGAACAAAAATGTGATTAATATGAATTAAATCACAGTTACATGCATGGCCATTATTGATTGAAGATAAATGCAAACTACTAATTTTGAACTTTAAGTTAATTTTCTACAAGTTATTAATTACTTTCACTTGACTAACTTACCAAAGTTGAACAAGTTAAGGTTTGTTCATTCAAATCCTTTTGTAGCTCCATAACTTCTTGTCTATTTATGAAATGATTATTTTGTCAAAAACAAATCATGTGTCAAGACTAAAGAATTCTTGAGGATATGATCAACGGCACGTCACGTTTATTGAAAGGGGTTCAACTGAATCTTTTTTTGTCGAAAAGGTATACTGTGTATATATAAATAAAAAAATCTCATTGAATTCCATAAATACAAAAGAGTAATTTCTGAATCGCCTTGATGAAATTTTTGTCGTCGTCACTGAATATGATTTAAGATTAAGGAGATTAAGGAATTTATTTAGGACTAATCAAATGTTCCTATCCCCAATATTTGATATGTCATTCCAATGTTGATTGTTTTTCATTAATTACACCTAAATTCTATAATTACAAACACATGCAAAATATAGTTTCTGATGTCAAATAAACGACAAAACACATCCATGCACGTAAAGGATAAAATATTGAATTTTAAATGGAATTTATAAGGTAGACATTGAAATCTAAATGGTTTACTCCAAAGCCCATAACTAAGGAAATACCACAAACTTTCTTAAAATAAACTATAGCAGCCTTTTTTTAGAAAACAAGCAATGCGAATTTCCAATTTAGACAAATCAACATTGCTTATGGTTTTTCTTTTCCCCATATTTTTTTTAAACTTAATTAGTAATTATCTTAAGTTATCTTTTCCCTGTCTCTAAACGAAAAAAAGGATTTACTGAAATTAATATCATTTGGACCTATCTTTTATTCTTTAATTTTTTAGATAAAAGTCAAGTTTAACTAATATGCTAATTTTGCTTGACATTTTAATTAGTCATTCTTGGAAATTACAAATTGGACATCTAATTAATGATTTATTCTACAAGTAACATGTGACCATCTTTTAAATAAATGAAATTAACCTTCTGGAAATGATGCCTATTTATTAATTTCGAAAACGAAGTACATCAAGTAGGTGATACATCTGAATATTTTGCTATCCTTAAAATGACTTTTATTTCAAAAGCAACATGTGTGTTTTTTCCTTTGGTCAACAAGCAACATGTGTTCACAATAGAACGAGGGGAGGAAGTAATAATAATATGGCACTAGCAATGACTATAACGTTAAGAGGATGATTCGATTAATTCAGATTCATGCAAAGCGATGGTCCATAGGAAAATAATTTTATCAAAAAATTAATATAATTTTATTTACTACACTCAAATCTAAAATCTTTGGTTAAGACAAAAGGATTCCATCCAAGGCGCCAAATTTATTTGGGTGATAATATGTGACGTTCATGACGGACAACGGACCGACAAAGACGGGTAAAAAGAAGGATTGAAAGGCTTCTAGGCTGGTAAGTCGACGCATATGATGCCGTAGACGAATCCCCACGTCGAAATGGAAGAGAAAAGTGAATATCTTTATAAGGCATAAAATAACTTCACCATTGTATACACCCTTTTGGGCTCGATCGATAATGGTGTATAGCCAAATAGAATCAGTGGCGAAGCTAGGAATTGTTTCAAGGGTATTCAAACTTGAAAGAAGCTGTAAAAATAATTTTCCGAAAAAGGATATTCAATATGTGTTATATCCTCTAAAATATAATTTTTTTACCTATATATACGGTGTAATTTTTCGACGAAGGGTGGTCAATTGGCCACCCTTAAGACAATATAGATTCACCCCTGCAATGGATACACACGTGATGTCTATTGCGTCAAATCGAACAATACGTGTCATTGGATTGAGCTGTGATATAATATAGTATTTAAACTAAAAATAATTCATTTTTATTGCAGATCTTGTTTCCTAAGGAAGTATGGAGGTACGAAGTCAGCAAATTGTCCAAGAAATACTTTCGTCTAAACCTCTCTCTCTCACATAAAAAAAACCATACCATAAGTTATCTCCATAATGAAAAGGATCCAACAAATCCCCTAAATTCTATAAATAGACAAACTCCCCCACCTCAGTTTGTCATATCAATTATTTCCGTACCCTCTTTTTTCTCTAACTAATAATTTATCCCCCCATACTTTCCTCCATAATTACTCTTTTTGTCCTTTCTTTCACAAAAAAAAAAAAAAAAAAAAAAAAACCAATATGGCCCATCTAAGGAATCTCTTCGTATTATTCACCATTTTTATGCTTATTATATCATTTTCATCTTGTAGCAGTATTAAATTCCAAAGTGAAGAAATATTAAGAGAAGCTCAAGATCATAACATGAATCTTGAAAGGGAATTTGGTTATGATTTTCAAGCTTATCCTTCTAATTATTTCAACACCATTGATCTTGAAAACAACAACAATTTTGATGATCAAATTAGTAGATTTAATAGATTCAAGAATTTGGAGAAAGATGAAGCAGTTGAGGTTACAACAATCAATGTGGATAGCTTTGGAGCTAAAGGTGATGGAAATACAGATGATACGAATGTAAGTTCTTAGAATTCCACAAAAGAAATTTCATCTTTCTTTAAAAATCACTCTTTCAAACAGTTATAAGTATACTCCCTTTGTTTCATTTCATATGACGGTATTTGATTGAACTCGAAAGTTAAGAAAAAAAAGACAAACTCTTAAAAATTGTAATCTTAAATTTGTTATAATATTTCTATGGTGTAAAAGCATATCATTAAACGTAACATAAGAAGTTTCAGTATTATTTTTGGAATAGTGATGAATATGAAAAGAGTGACTCCTAAAGTATTAGATAAAAGGGTCGTGGAGAGATATTTTATCTAATGAGTTTAACTTTTATATAATGAAAGTGTAAAAGAATTTTTAAACTGTCAGATCACCTGAATTAAAAGTAATTGTCCATAATAAGTGGAACTAGCTAGTTATTTGAAAAATAGAGCAAGCAACCTATTACAACATATAAAAATTCATCGATGATGGTTTTTACGTTGTGAGTATATATAAGTTAAATATTTCCTTCTTGGTAGAGGGATTCTTTCTTGAACCATCAAGGTTTGTAGTCCGATAGAATTCTCCATCCTCAATCAAAGATCTGGTGTTCGGGTCCTAAGAATGAAGAAATCTTGGTAGGCCGAGCCCTAAGAATGGAAAAATCCTGGTAGGCCTAGTCCTAAGAATGGAAAAATCCTAGTAGGGCGAGCCCTAAGAATGAAAAAAATCGTGGTAGGGAGCATTTTTACGTCTAATAAACCATATGCGACAATAATTCTATTTAGTCGGAACTTAATACAAATACCGAACACCGAATAAGCGTCGAAGCTTGTTATGGTGAATATGTAGATGAAAAAGGGGTAGAGATTGGGGTTGCTTCTACGATATATATATGTATTAGCACCATCAACTATTCAGTTTTTTTTTTCTCTTTTGTTCTTAACGTATTAAATTGATATTTCAGGCATTTCAAAAAGCATGGAAAGTGGTTTGTTTGTCTTCAGCTGCAGTGAATTTTGTGGTACCTCAAAACAAGAAATATCTTCTCAAACAGATCAAATTTTCTGGTCCATGCAAATCTTTCATTTCAATGCAGGTTAGACTGAGCTACTAGTATTGGAGTTTAAGTTTTGTATACTGATAAAATATAGTATATAGTTTCAAGCAAAATATGTTAGCCCGAAAAATAAAGCAATAACCTTTTTTTATATAACCGATTAAATTTATTGCTAGTGGTAAAAGTTTTTAGCATGGTTAATTTACATAACTTAAATCCTTCTATATAGGAAAATAAAATAATATTCTCTAGCTATATGCAGCGACATATGTTAGCTTATTAGGTGGATTTAGCCGAACCCAATATTTAACAGGAGATATGATTATATTAACAGAGGCGGATCCAGGATTTAAACCTTATGGTTTCAACTTTTAAAGTTTTAAGCATTGAACTCATTATATTTATAAAGTTATATGTTCATATCTATATTTTTGCAATTTTAATAAGTTTTTACATATAAATTTTTATTCCGCACAAAACATTATGGATCCAACTGAACCCGTCAATAACACACTACATCTGCCCCTAGTTATATATATATATATATATATATATATATATATTTCTTTTGGTGCTCTTAGAGATCTGCAGATTAGATTTTGGTTGTATGTAAAAGGGTGCGTTATGACTTTGATGGGTATAACTATGATTATGTATAAAATATCAATGTTTCTTTTGCAAGTTAGTTATGCATATTTTAACTCTGGTATTAGTCTTGGAGGCCTCGTTGGCCCAAGTGTCNAATATTTTTTTTTGAAATATTATGCAGATTTCTGGAACTCTATTAGCATCTGATAAGACTTCGGATTACAGCAAAGATAGCAGGCACTGGCTTCAATTTAATAATGTTCGAAACTTGGTTGTTGAAGGAGAAGGAGTTATCAACGGCAATGGGAAAATTTGGTGGCAAAATTCTTGCAAAATTAATAAAAAATTGGTATTTTATTTTGCTTAACATATTTTTCAAATGCTTAAATATCCTTCACTATGAGTTTAATTTTTATACGCACCGTCAGTGTAAGCAATTTTTATATTATCAATATATATATACAACTTAAACTATTTTATTATTCTATTTTTTTTTTTGTCAGACATCATGTTTTGATGATATAACTAATTTTGTTTTCTTTTTCTTCTTACTTAAAATCTTGCAGCCGTGCAAGCATGCACCCACGGTACGTTCATTCAATTTTTATTTATTTATTTTTTTGTCAAAGAACATAATGATTAATGATAATAGAGTTAATATTACCAGTCTCTCTTTAATTGATTAAAATTCAAGAGAGTTTTTGACAATCAAGCAAAATAAATAATTATTTGCAAAAAAAAAAAAACAATTTCTGAAAACATTTTCTGCCATACCAAGCACACTAATCAAACAGAAGGTTTTGTAGAAAATGTCCTGGTAAAAATTATACTATATGTTACCAGCTTTATAGACCATATTTTGCTGGTCACGATAAATTAAGTAGGATTAAAATTATAAGTAAATAAAATAAAATAAATAAACGAACAATGAGTATGAAATAAATAAAATAAAATAAAATAATTCATTACCCTGCATATAGCTTACTTTCTCTTATAAATGTGAACAATCTAGCCACTATGGTCTTAAACAAAATAGTCAGGTGATATATAATTAATGTATAATATATGCATAAAATTGTCTATGATCAATGTATAATCTGTATATGTATACTAGGTAGGAAAAGTAAAAAATAACTCCGGCCGATTATTTTGTGTAAATTAAATTATGATTTTTTTAGAATAATTTTTCTTCTGTCGCAGGCCCTAACATTCTACAACTGCAACAACTTGAAAGTGAGGGAACTTAAGATAGAAAATGCACAACAAATGCATGTCTCATTTGAGAGATGCTCTGGAGTTGAAGTTACAAAACTGGTTGTGAGTGCTCCAGAAAATAGCCCTAACACTGATGGTATCCATATAACAAACACCAAAAACATCACAATTTCTAGTTGTTCCATTGGCACAGGTATATATCTTGATTTATTATTAGGTTGACGGGTGCGTGTCGGATTCTCCAAAAATAGTGCATTTTTGAAAGATCTGACACGGACGCTGCAACATTTTAAAAAAGTCTAGTCAATATATATAGACAGCATGTAGTCCATAATAAAGTGGTGCTAGCCTGAAAAACAAGACGGGTAACATATTATAACAAATCAAACTAAATTGATGGTATAAAAAGTTGTACATTGTCAGTGGACGTAAGTTAAATCCAAAACGAAAAACACACTAGAGACACAATGGCAGATCCAAGAATGATTCATGAGTCATGGGTTCGATTCCCAAGAGCAACATGCTGCATGAGGCGCGTGTTGGGAGGGGGATTTTGGGTAACGCCAACATCCTGCCTATGGCAAGGCCCACGAGGCGGCTGGGTGGCCTCGGTGGCGAGCTCTAGTCAGAATCATGATCGAACATAGCGCTTGCTGGTGGGCTTTGTTAATAAATATAGTTGTGCCCTTTCCATCAGCTATAACTTTTGTCATGATCATGGTAAACGATTGAGCCTAATAATATATAGAGTCAGATATACTTTTAGAACTTATTTTTTTAACTCAGGACCCACAACGCCGAAATACCCAATTTTCCACCACAAAAACAAATAAAATAATTGTGGTGTGCCTTTTTTTTTTTGTGACTAATTTTGGAAATTAATTTGGTGGACAGGTGATGATTGCATCTCAATTGAGAGTGGATCCCGAAATGTTCAAGCCAAAGACATTACTTGTGGACCAGGTCATGGAATAAGGTACTGAAAATAAACTTAAAGTTCAATAGTACAATCACCAACCTTTTTTTCTTAATTATTCAGATTATTTTGGAAATTTTACAATCTAATTGTGTAATTTGCTGGTTTATTTTTCTTTTTCCTTGTTGGTGAGCTTAGTATTGGAAGCTTGGGAGATGGAAATTCAGAAGCTCATGTGTCTAATATTTTTGTGTATGGAGCTAAGCTTACTGGAACTACAAATGGACTTAGGATCAAGACTTGGCAGGTAAATTAATTAACCTTTTTTACCAGTACATATTTTAACATTCTTTAAGAAAATACTTTGCTTATCTATGTGCATGAGTTGGTTAGACATTTTTTTTTGTTTCCCAACCGATGTCGGTATATGCATTGGAACTCAATTATATCCGAATTCGCGTAGGAAAGTTTCATATAGGAGGGTAAAAAATACTCCCTAACAAAGACGACGCTGGTTTATATATAATTGATTTATGAATGCAGGGAGGATCTGGAAGTGCAAATAACATCAAATTTCAAAATGTGGTGATGAATGGTGTTAAAACCCCCATTATTATAGACCAAAACTATTGTGATCAAGATTCTCCATGCAAAGAACAGGTAAATAATAGGGATCTTTACGCAAAGAGCCGGTTAGATTCACTGTTTACTTTTTTTAGTCGGTATACATAGATTATACATATGTATACATATAGTATACATGATTTACACATATATATTATACAATCGTCGGCTATTTTTAGTTTAAGCGGTTAGGTAGACGGCTATTTAGGTTAATTCTTCTAAATAAATAAAATGGGATTTAACTTATATAAATTAACCGTTCAAATTTGTTTGCACTATCAGAGTATTTTACTACTTATGCCAATATATAGAAGTTAAACTGGAAAAAATAAATCAAGTAATATATACTAACATTATAATAAATTTTTACACTATCAATATAATTTGCTACGCCCGTTTGATTTTCCAATATCCAACTATACCAAAACCAATTTCTACCCTCAACTTTCTAAAAATCCAAAAGTTCCCCACAAGAACCTTTAAATGGTCAAAATCACCCGAATCTGAATTTGTAGTTTACAACAAAACACTATTAGATTGGAGATAAAGTTAATTGATAGTATTAATTATTAATTATCTTTTATTGATTATTCATTATAGGATTCAGCAGTTCAAGTGAAAAATGTGATTTATCTAAACATCAAAGGCACAAGCGCGACGAATGAAGCTATAAATTTTGATTGCAGCAAAAACTTTCCATGTCAAGGAATTTTATTGCAGAATGTAAACTTGGTTGGGGAAAATGGTGAAACTTCAAAAGCTGTTTGCAATCATGTCAATTTTGTCAACATTTCAGCTGTCTCTCCAAAATGTCCCCAAATGAATTGATTTTCAATGTTTCTTTTGTGTAATTAAGTACATAGAATTTTTAATAGGGTATTGGTTATTAGTAGGTGTAAATGTTACAATAGAATAAAAATGGGTAGAAAACATTAAGTATTAGAATACAACATGAGATGATTTGTGTTCAATATAAAAATAGTTTGGTTGTATGATATGATATTCTTTTGGTATTTCTCATGAACAAAATATTGTTGTAATTACTGAAGTTGGAGAATTATATTTAAACAGATATTTGTTTTTCAATTTTGACGAGGAAATGAAAACAATGATGTCTTCTCCTGCATGCGAGGTTTATACTGCGTGTGATCCACGTTTAAGGCTGAACATATGTAGTATATAGAATATAATATCGGCCCCCAATATTTATTAAACTAAGAATAGTGATGGGTCATGTGAAACTAAAAAAACGGAATATTATGAAAGCTAATAAAGCAAATTTTAAATATTGATAAACTAACAAAGAAAATATATATACTAAGAAGACACAAAAATTTAACATGATTCAATTAATTGATTTGCATCATTAGTGGAGATGAGCACATTCCAAAAAGAATATAAAAAGAAAGTGTAAATTAAAAATATTAAAAAAATACTTCACAAATTTTATTTTTAAAGAGGTTTAATCTGCACAAGTGATAGCTAATCAAACTTGTGCGTTTATCTCGTGAACGGAATGTTTTAACTACGAAAGTTTACATAATGAATGTTGCCAAGTGACAAAGAAAAGCCAAATGCGTTGCTTCCTTCCAAGAAAAGGAACATTTCAAACATGGTGTGAAAATTAAGGCAAATAAATAAAAACTCTCTCTTGAATAACCATCTCCATGGTAGATATTTTTGGTAAAAATTACTCGCATCGAATGTTTACATTACACCACTAAATATGTAATATGTGTTTTCATATAAATTTATATTACTTAACCATGATTAATAAAGAAATTATAGTAATTTGATGGAATTTGATAAACCCCCGAATTTTTGTCTCTCTCAAATTTACCTGACAAAATTTTTTACTACAATAATTAGGTTGAAGTTCGATGTAAAGCTGTCTTAGCTTTAACTTGGATAACATGTTAGAAAATGAATCTTAAGTTTAACACAACTCCAAAGTTAATGCACGAGGTAAAATTCTTCCAAGACCATATAACAGTGAAACTACGGCCTACATATCGAATTAAATAAGAGATATAAAATTATGATATTAATTTATTTAAGAAGCCTTATTATTTAACTTGTTATACTTAACAAATTAGAAACACTAACATTTAAGATGAGGATTTGCTTTTGCTTACTAGTAATATTTATTAATTATGCGTTCTAAAGTGCAAAATATATTTTAGTCACCTTGCTCTGATACCATATTAAAAAATACATCATAGTCGTAACTCAATCTAAAAGTTGGGTTATGAGGTGAATATCTCTCAAAACCATATAATGAGACTATAATTTAGTTACTAGAAATGAGATAATGCACTATTTTCTTATTAATATTATTCATTTATTAATTATGCTTTCTAGAGTGTAAAGTACATTTTAGCCATTTTTCTCTGATATAATATTAAAATAAATTATGATTGTAACTCATTCTCAAAAGTTAACTTATGATATACGCATTTCCAAAAATTATATAATGAATTTATAATCTAAATATTAGATCAAATTCACATCTAATAAGAGAAATCTTCATCCTTTACTAGTTGTTGTCGGTGCTGGTGATTCTCCGGATCTTCCTAAGGCTTTGACAACCAATGTTGATGCCTTGATCACTGTGGAACACCGATCCAACTATATCTTTATATTATGGACATGGAGAAGCGTGCAGACGAGATTTTCAACTCATTCGTAGGCCAAATCACTTTTGTGCTCCTATTTTTTAGAGGAGTGTTAATTTTTCAAAACGTAGTGCTCAAATTTTCGATATTAAAGTATTCACCTGGCTGATCATTGGTGCCTTTACTTTGGAATTTGGCATTGCCTTTTGGTAACGCACATCAAATTCAGCAGAATGAAGTCTTGCAAAAGTAATTTGGACATTAGGAAAAGAGCTATAGTAGCAAGGGCAAAATCAACTTTGGAGTTAGAGACACTGCAAAAAGAACCAAGAGAAAATGGACATGTTACAGTGGGAGAGGACTTAGACCCGATATTATCCGCTAATGACGTGATAACCCGATCCTAAAAGTTTGTTAATTCAGAGAATATTATAAAACTCAAAAAATACTACTGGAAACTGGCTTCGACTGCTTTTGTGTGCTTGGCGGATCTTTACTTTATTATTTTGCATATTACACTTATTGTGATGCTACGAAAAAGTGTATTGCGCCTATGATCTGAGAGAGGTGGATAGAAAGTAGGTGAAATGATAGGGATTAGAAGAAAAAAGTAATTTTATAGTCAATACTGTATTTCGAAGTTATTTGGTTGTCATCTCAGACTTGTTATTTCATACTTACAACTTATATGGTAATGTATAAACTATGACACATTAAGACATGTTCTTTTTTTGTTTTATATTACTCATCTTCACTAATGTTAATTACTCCAACTAAATCATATTTTTTTAAATATTCTTCATTTATTAATTATGCTTAGAGAAAAAAAATTCATAGATACTTTTTTGTCATACCAAACACATTATTTTTCAAAATACTTTTACTTGAAATTTATGAAGCATATAATTCAAAACAAAAATAATGCTAAAGGAGATATTGCAAGCAAGTTGAAAAAGATAATGGATTCGAGAAATTACTTAAAGTAGTTATTTTTTTGTGCTCTTAATATTTGTCGAAAACGGATGGAACTCCACTTTTGTTATCTAATTTTTTCACTTCTTATATTTTTTCTATTGATTTTTGATTTAACGGTGGTTGAAATAAGATTTTACAGAAAAGGGCTAACAAGAGTTATGCAAAGCACATTTCAATCACTTTGCTCTGATATAATGTAAAAATATTTTATTATGATCGTTATTCAGACTCAAAAGTTAACTTATGAGATAAGTATTTTCGAGGACTATATAATAAAATTATAATCTTAATATTAGATCAAATTCACATCTAATAAGAAAATTTAACTTTTTTACAAGTAATCTTCATTTATTAATTATGTCTTCTAGAGTGTAAAGCACATTACAAACACTTTGCTATGATACAATATTAAAAAAAATATCATGAGCGTAAACTTCGGCTCAAAAGTTAACCTATGCGATAAGTATTTTCGAGGACTTTATAATGAAATTGTAATCTAAATATTAGATCAAATTTACATTTTATAAGAGAATTCAGCCTTCTTTACTAGTAGTCTTTATTTAGTAATACAAAACAAATTTCAACCACCTTACTAATACAATGTTTGTGATGACTCGATAGGTCACTTTGAGTCTTAGCCTTCATTTCTGTATTTCGAGATCTCGAATAGCTCCGTTTAGACTTTGTCGATTTACGTGTGCAGTCCGTGTCTTTTTTCAGAAAGTTTTATGGGAAAAATTTAAGAAAATGAGAAATTTTGCCTTAAAAGCTCGTTTGAGTTTACTACGGTCAACGTTTTGTGTAAACAGACCTGAAGAGTAACCTGGGCTGGGGTGGAATTTTCTCTATGCAAACGCGAGGCTAAGGTCGCGAACGCGAAGCAATAATGTGATCACTATTCACGAACGCGATGGGTATGGGCTTGGAAGGGGGGATCAACTGCTTGTTCTACGCAAACGCGATCAGAGGGTCACGAACGCGATGGCCAGGGGGGGAAGAGCTATCGCGAATGCGAAGGCCACTTAGGCCGCTGTACTTCGCGATCGCGTCAGGTCTTTCGCGAACACGAAGAAGGCCTGACGCCCATTGACTTAAATGTTCCAAAGATGGGACTTTCTTCATTTTTCACCATCTTCACATTAGAGCTCGGCCTAGAGGCAATTTTAAAGAGAAATTTCATCCCCACTTCATAGGTTAGTATACTTACCTCGTTTTCTTCCATTTTCATCAACACTCATTGATTCCTAACCTTAATTTATGCCCTTTCATGGTAGAAATTAGGGATTTGGGTAGAATTGGGGGAGTTTTGTAAAATTGAGATTTAGTCCTCAAATTGAGGTATGATTTCGAAAGTAATCACATAATCGGGCTCGGGGGTAAATGGGTAATTGGATTGTGGTCAGAATTTTGGATTTTGATCAAGCGGCCCCGGGGTTGACTTTTTGAGAAAAGTGTAAATATTTTAGCTTTATATATTGTAATTGATTTTCCTAACACTGTTTGATGTTATTAAGTCAATTTTGGTTAGATTTGATTGGTTTGGAGGAGGATTTTAGAGGAAAAATCCTGGTTGAGCTTTGATTTGATTGTGGAGCGAGATAAGTGTTAGGTCTAACCTTGATTTGAGGGAATTAGGAACCCTTGAACTATATGTTATATGAATTACATGTGTAACGATATATATGCGAGGTGACGGGGGTATATACGCTATCAAAATAATTGTTTTCATGCTTTTCCGTATTTCATTAATTATCTTATTCCATATTTTAACTGTAAATGCTTTAATTGCTTTCTATACCGTAACTTTTTACTTGTCATTTATTTACTCTTGTATTGAAATATTTGTTTCTTCCATGATTCCATGATTAATTTTTACTTGCCTTAATTGTCTTACTTGTACACTTTAACTATCATATATTTGGGTTGTCTTGTTGCTTTGTATTAATTGTAGCATTTCTTGATTTGGTACGGGGTTCCTTTATTACTTTGCTTTCATATTCTTTAATCGCAGCGATTCTTGTGAATTGAGTTGTTGGATTGATTATATTTATTGAATTTGTTTATGGATCGGGTTGCATGCCGATACGGTTGTGATATGGTGGAATAAGGGAGAATTTGAAATTGATATGGTGGGATCGGGGTTGCGCGGCACAACAGATTTTATATGTGATTTTGATATTGATATGGTGAAATACGGGATGATTATGATATTGATTCTAATTATATAGTGGGATGAGGTTGCGCGCCGCAACGTATTTTATATGTGATTCTGGGTATTAATCCGGTGAAATAAGGGAGGATTGTGTTTGTACGGTGGGATCGGGTTGCGCGCCGCAACGGATTGTATGTGTTGTACTCATTTTTGTATTGGGTTAGCTTTCAGTATTTTTTTATATGAGATTCAGAGGACTGATATTTCTGAATTCACTGATTACGAGGATTGAGTTTGTTTTCATTAGTTAATTGCTTTGCCATCATTTTCTTTTATTATTATTA